CTCTCCACCCCACTTGCTCCTCCGATTAACTAGTGAGCAGATCCATGCTTTATGTCGGATGATAGATTTGTTTGCCTTGCTTCTTTAATAAATTTGTATGCTTTACTTTCTTTTTAAAAATATTTTTTTATTTAAAAAAATATTTTTTATTGATTTCAGAGAGAAAGGAAGAGGGAATGAGAGAATAGAAAACATCAATGATGAGAGAGAATCATTGATCAGCAGCCTCCTGCATGCCCCACACTGGGGATCCAGTCCACAACCTGAGCGTGTGCCCTGACCAGGAATCAAACCCTGACCTCTTAGTTCATAGATCAATGTGCATAAGCCCCAACCAGGATGGGGATGGAACCTGCAACCCAGGTATGTGCCCTTGACCCGGAACTGGACCCACCACCCTCCGGTGCACAGGCCAATGCTCTATAACATGCTTCACTTTCTTAATAAATTGACTTTATCACAATGCAATCACCTGGAGTCACTCATCTGAATTCATTCAGAGGAGAAGACAAGAACCAGGAAGGGACAGCACTCTCCCTCTGACCCAGGCAGCAGGGGGCTGTCTGATAACACCTTTCCGGGTGTGTTGGTTGCCTGTAACACCTCCAACTACCCATTGCCTAAGGCAGACTGACAGACAGACACCCACCCCCAACAACACAAACCATTATTTTACTGGAGAGGACTTCTTAAGGTTATATTCTCTAGTAATAATTTTCTTTCTTCCGAGAGTCAATCAGGTTAATATCAATGGCTAAATCTACAAATAGAACACCGCACTTACATTTAAAAACTTCCTCGAGTTCCACTAGAGAAGACCTTCTTCCCCCACATCCCCACCCCCACTTAGTTAATCTTTCTTTATTTTATTTATTTAAAATATTTTTTATTGATTTCAGAGAGGAAAAGAGAGGGAGAGAATCATTGATCAGCCACCTCCTGCACGCCCCACACTGGGAATCGAGCCTGCAACCCAGGCATGTGACCCACTTGGGACCCAAACTGTGACTTCCTGGTTCTTAGGTAGATGCTCAACTACTAAGCCATGCAGGCCAGGCAGTCACTAGTAGCATCTCTTTAAAACATGGCCTTGGCTTTCGTTTGCAAGCACGTTGCCTTCTCAGCTTCACCCTTCCTCCAAAGAAAGTCCATTAGTCACTCCTGAGGTTTACAAAGAGAATAAGACAAAAGAAGACAAGAAATTGTCTAAATTTAAAGTGCTGGAAAATCCAACATTTTATTTACTACATTTTGGTGACTACATAAATGCTGAAACATTTTAACACTGAAAAGCATGATGGCATCATCACTTGCTTTTTTTTTTTTCTTTTTGCTTTTTTTTCCTCTTTTTTTTTGCTTAGCAAACACAGCAGATGATATTGCACGGCATAAAGGGAGAACAGTAGCGAAGCTTAAAAAAAAGAAAAAAAAGAAAGGAACCTTAATGCAGTACAGGAAATACTCATAAACAAACCAGAATAACGCCTAATGCATTACACGTTTTGTTGCTACACACAAAAATACAGAAGAAGCATTGGACACAGAGAAAGAGAGAGACAAAATATTAGCAAACAACCATAACTGGGTACAATAATCATTTCATCTGAAATGTAGATGCAACGTAGAAACTACCACTGCTTTCTAATTGACAAAGAAAATGACAGCAACCTTTGTTTTTTATAAAAAAATCTAAGCCCCTCATGGTTAGGTTGTTAAATCGATTTAATCATTTATTTACTTTTTCTTCCTCCCTCCCTCCCCATTGCTAAGGAAGAACCCCCTCTGCTCTTGGAAGATTTTCTACTCTATTGACCTTTTTTTTTTTTTTTTTCCTCCCCGTTATTTATATATATATTTTTTTACCTGATGATTGTCTTAGGCACCCTCCTTACATAATAAACCATCAAGCTAACTTGAACAGGGAAAACGAGTCACACTCAAACAACAGCTGAAGTCCAAGGGGCTTTGAAAATAAAGGAGCGGGAAAGGATGGCCTAAGGGAGCAGCAGGTGGGCTGACTTCGGAAGGGATGAGAAAACACGGGGCCATATGAAGACGATCACCGAAGCAAGTGGAAGACAATGCTTTAAAGTTTATTTCGTTAAAAAATACTCATCACGTGGTTCCAAAGGCATATCTAAAATGAGTCCACAATGATTATGTAATAAATGCAGAACATCCACAAAAAAAAAAAAAAGAAAAAGGAAAAAAAAAAAATCGAGACTAGCACAGAAACAGGAAACACGACCTTGTGCATACCACTCTGCTCAGCGTTTCCCCGCTGAGGGTCCAAGTCTTCTCCCGCCACCGCCCTCCTGGCTTTCTGTAACTCACTGCCCCGTGTTGGCAGGAAAAACACACGGTTAGTCAATGCTGACCAACAGAGCGCTGAATGATCCTGCGACTCAGAGCAGACGTGTTGCCCTACTAAAATACACAACGAGTACAAGAATGCTTGTAAGAAAGTGTAGCATTTGACCCAAAAGCTAAGCCCTCCCTTTCCTTCCCCACCCCAAACACCCCTGCAAAAGAATGTAAATTTCTTGTATTGAGAGGAAAAGTATTTACATCTATGGATGTGTGCCATGTAGCTGAGGCAACTTAACTTCAGCAACATAGCGGGCGGGCACTGGGTCTGCTGAGGATGCCGCGAGTTGGCTGAGAAGTCTGCGTGCGCTGATCTGAATGAAATCGGGGCCAAGTATCTGACCAGCCTGGGCAAAGGAGCCAGAGGCAGGGGCCGCCTCCAGTGCCTCCAAAACTAGAGGCAAGATGAAGAGCAAGAGGAGACAAACTCAAGTAGGCCTGGTACACTCGCCAGGGGACTCTGACACTTGAGGAGAATTGGTTAGGGGTTGTGAATAGCAGATTCCAAGAAACAGATGTGCGTTTGGAATATGCAACTGTGACCCATTCCCTTAAACTGGACTAGTAATCGGGACCGAGCAATCCTGTTTTGCTTCTTTTTTCATGAGTCAGGGCCAGGCCCCTGCCCTCAGCCTGGACTTGCTCTGTCAGGGCGTGAAGCCATTGTACACCCCTCTCAGCTCTGCCCCTGCCTTGAAGCCATTCAGAAACTTGGGGAAACTGAAGAGGATTTCCAAATTCAAGTTAGCTTGTCTCTTTGAGTTTCTATACTCTACTTCTCAGACCCGTGCGAATGGAAAAAATAAAAATAAAAAAATAAATAGCCAAGTATCTCACAAATACCAGTGCTTTGGAACATGAAACAAGTCTTAAATTCTTTGGAATTTCAGGTCTAACCTGCAAGGTAATCTTTTCTTTAAAAAAACCAACAACAATAAGTTAAAGGAGGATCACAAATAATGCCTTTCTTCTTTCCAAGGGATAAAAAAGACTGCCTTGAAACACTCACTTTGGCATGTACAAGTCTTTGGAGGGGGGACGGGCAGGGTCCACAGCACACGCTGAGGTGCCTGCCAAGAGAAACTGAAGCCACGCCCTGCAGTGGAGAGAAGCTCTTGCCTTCAGCTCATCTTAGCATCAAGAACAAAAAGATTGTAACACAAAGCTTTGGCTGTTTGGGTTCTACTATATACATTTAAAAAACTACACAGTTCATAAATTAAAGCAGTGATTAAATAAGCTCATATAAAATGTACTTAAATTAAAAAAAATCACAGCACATTATAGAGAAAATAGAAACCAGTTTCACAAAAAAAGAGATTATATATATATTTATATATATATATATATTTTTTTTTTTTACCCTGTGGAAACAAATTTTCACTACGAAACACAAAACTATCTAAGTAACCATCCAAATGAAAAGCATTTCTTATTCCATTCTTGCATTTTTTTTTTTTTTTTTTACACAACCCTTAACCCACGTGGGGGGACGTATCCAGAAATTAAGTCTTCCTTGAGCAACAGAGCAGTTCTGCCAAGAAAATCAACCCCAAACCGAAGCAAGGAGGGGGCGGACATCCCAAACATACAAACTACAAAATAAATAAGAATTATAAAGGTTTGTGTTTTGTTTTGTTTTTTCAAAGTAACCTTAACAATTATCAAACTAATAAGTTCTGCCTTATCACATAGACTCTCTATACAACGTAACCCTAACACGTTATTACTATGAGGTATTTGGAGGAATTGGTAAAAGTGATGCACGGCCTGCCTGGTGAAGGGACTCGGTGAGGTGAGGGGGACCTCAAGAGGGAATGAGGAGGAGGAGGAGCTTTGGTTTCTCAGCAAGAAATTGGGGGGGAAAAGTCATCCTTTGGTATCAAAGAAAGTTTCATTGCATGGTTGCACGGAAAAAGCACCACGGTGAATAATTATTCCTTTTTTTTTTTTTTTCCTTTTCTTTCCATTAGTGGCCTTTCTAAGAGGCTGAGGTATTCAAAGAGTATAAGGTGAGAGAGGTCAACAGCGGTTTAACACTTTGGTTCAAGCAAGGCACTCGTCCTAGAGTTTACAAAGTTTGCAACATGTTTGCCTAGAGATTTACAAGGAGAACTAGCAGTCAGAAGAGTAGTATTTTCCTAATGTTGTTGTTGTTGTGGTATCATTATTATTAAGAATGAAGACAAGTTTACACACTGAGTGAAGAGTGAGGAGGGGCGAGGAGGTGGGAGAAGGGTGGGGTGGAGTTCCCTCGGCAGACGGAGGCCGTGCATGAAAATATCTTTGGTATTCTTTGGTATCATATCAATGTGATTAAAATCACCAATGGAAATCGAGTGAGGTAGCGTCTTTGGTTCACACTATAAATAGTAGATCTTTACACTTTTTTTTTCTTTTTTTTCTTTTTTCTTTCCTTTTTTTCCCTTTTTTCTTTTTTCTTTTTCTTTTTCTTTTTTTTTTTTTTTTTTTTTACACGTGGAAGTAGCTATTTCTTACCTTCTGCTTCTTTGTCTTTCCTATTTAGGAAATAGTTACCCAATGCACTGTGAAGCTAACCACACCACAAGAATAATCCAGAAGGCCAATCGCATCTCAAAACGGCCTCTGGTGTTTGAATGCACCCTAAACAGCTAGATAGGAAAGGGAGAAGTGCTTTCTCTTTGTTTGCTAAATGCATAGTTTTCATCCTTTATGTACAAAGGGAGGATCTTTTTGAAGGAAAACGCTTTTATAAGCTCATGTGAAAATGTCCTAGGACTCTTTGGTATAGTCAAGTTTGCATTTAACCTGCAAAGATGGGTCATTCGCCTGGGGTAGCAATGGGAGAGGGGGTGGGGTGGGGGTGGGGGAGTGATGGGGACATGAGTCCAAACATAGCATAGTGCTTTTACCTTTGTTCCTGGGAAATTAATTATGGTTTTTTGAGGCAAGGAGGCAGAGTGAGTAACATGTTCAGTTAGAACTTCCCCACACATTTTCTTTGGTTTTGGGGGCCTATTCCAGCTGCATCCAGGGACCGGAACACTCAGTTCTCAGCACCCATAATTTTTTCACCTGAACATTTACGGAAGTCTGGGCTTTTGGGGTGTTCAGACCTCCCACTCTTTCTCTTGGCTCCCTTTCAGGGAAGCGTTTGGTCATGAGAGGACAAATGATTTTTGGCCAAAACCAGTCTAATTTCCATTCTGTGGAAACCCCCTAAAATGTTTTATTTAAGTGCAGTTTTGGAATATATATATATATATATATATATATATATATATATGTATGTATATATGAGAGTTTTTAGGGGAATTTTGTTCAAGGACTGGGAAATGATGGGTAAACAAAAGTATGTGATCTGCTTAGCTACGTTGGGTTTAGAACCTGAGCCGTAAATTAGTGAGACAGGAATGAAGCATTCCCTCTCTGTGACAAGTCAGAAGCAGAATAGAACCAGCCGTACTTGATGGGATAAGTGTATTGCTGTGAGAAGCTGAGTTTGTCCATTGTGATTTCTCAGAAGCAGAGGTTGTGAAGATGTTTAAACAGTCAAGTAAAAACATTGCTTTTCAGGCTTGGATTTGTGCATCTGTTTGTGAGAAAATATATCTCTAGGCCCTGAAATTGCATAATGGGTGCACATTCAATGCTGGTATGAAAATTATCTTTGGTGTTAGCAAATAGAATCACTGGTTATTTTTCAAAAAAGCATGGTGAGAATATTAAAAAATGTAGTAATATTCTTTGACACTGTGTCTACATAGTACCAAAAGAATTGGTTGAAAACTTAAAATGTGGTTAGATTAACTGGGCAAGTCATGTAGTAAAATCAAAGCAAAAAAAAAGTGGTCATCTGAATTCTACTTTTGTTTTTCCTGGGGCATTGACTTTGGTAAGATTGGGTGTAGATACAGCTTGAACTTCCCTGTTTTTAACATTCTCTTGTTTTAAATAAATAAGGCTTTCCTCCCTCCTAAATTAGATTATGTAGCTGTAACCAGGGTCCCCTCTATTCATGGAAAGAGAAAACGTTAATCAGTTTTTTTCCTTTTAGTTTTTGTAATTGACAAGATTAAATTTTTAGCAAATCTTGGAGGTGGCCATTTAAATGGTATCTTTTAACAGCTGAATTGTTATTGTGCCATGTTTAGAGAGAAAGAAAATAGACAGCATGTGTCAGGGTAAATACGTTCTTTCATGAAAGGGGACATAAGTGCGCCGGCTTCCTTTCCCCCTCCAGCAGACATGGAGGAGACAGGCTGGTGTGGCCTCCTCTCTCCAGGTGCCTGCCTCTTCTAGACCTAGACAAGATGGTTTAATTTTTTAAAGCATTTTAATGACTCTCAATAAACAACTTATTGTTGCCATAACATTTAATTTTATATTTCTAGTTAGATGTGCTAATTAACCAAGGCTATGCAGTTCTTTACCCAATAGTACAAAAGACATCCAATTATATGAGTGATAATTCAATGGAATTCAGAGAGAATTTGGTGGGAGGAGGGGGGAGAAGAGGGAAATCAAATGATGCTTGGGTACTACTAGTACAACTGTATTATCTTTGGTTTTTGTTTTGTTTTTTCCTTTTTTGCCTTGATTTCTATAGGCCTGGTTAAGTGATTTGAGAAAATAGGAATTTAAATGTTTACTTTTGGAGGTTCAGGTCTAGTTTTTATATGTCCCTGTTAGGGAGTGGAATCTATGTTATAAAATTTCCAGCTTAATGCAGCAGCAGGAAAGAATGCGGTACGCTCCGGAGGCTATGCTGAACGAAGTAAACAGTTGAAGACCGGTGGAACTCCCATTTCTTGGTTGGACCTGCTATTTTTGTTCATGTCCAAGTCATAAAATGTTTGGGATTGGCAATAAAATAAGTTTGATTATATTTTTAGGATTATTCAAATATTAGATAGCTCATTTTAATAATAACGTTGGTCAGCTCCATTTTAGTTTGTATTTTTGAAATGTATTCGGTGTCAAAGGCATGCAGCAAATTTGTCAAATTAATCTAAGTATGGAGTCTTAGTTCCATGGTCTTTTTACCGAAAAGCATTACTTTAAACAAATTTTCTAATTCAGTTACCTGCCCTGTGTGAACTTAGTTTTCTAGTTTACAAGTGGGGTCCTATTTTGGGAGCATTCCCAGGTTTTCCCAGCTCTAAACAGGTTCTGGAATCATGTCATATGTCTATCTAAGTGACATTTACGGGTCCCGAAAGGGAGTGTGCCACCTGGGCGTACATGCATACTGCATCAACCTCTCTGGGATGGTAGCAATTGCTTCCCTGAAGCGACATTCTTTCTTGCCAGTTCTGAAAACAAATATTTCAAATGCTTTAAGAGTCATAAATAAAAGTCATGATTCTACATGGCATGTGTGTTACAGCTAGATCAGTTCTTATGTAAAACTTTACATAGTATCTTGTGTAAAAATAGCTTTGGTTATTAAAATCATTGCAATAAAATACCTGCACTATAATATTAAGTGTGTTCTTTGGTACCTAGGTGATTTTTTTTTTTTAATGGATGGGCTCTTATTTCATTTCTTAAAAAGTATCTGAACAGTCCTTAACAAACAAAGAGAATGCACGAGTTTAGGTGTCATTCAAATTTTCTTTGCTGGGTTTGAATCTGCATTTAGGTTGCAGGCTTGGCAGGTTCAAACAATAGGCTAGGTGAGCGACATCACATCCCAATCCAATGAACTCAGACAACCCCACACAGATGGTTGCTCTCCTACCAGTACAACCCTCCTTGAAGGCTCGCCCTGCCTAAGTCCCTGACCACTGGTGGTGGTGGTGGTGGTGGTGGTGGTGGTGGTGGTGTGTGTATGTATGTGTGTGTGTGTGTACACGCACCCACACGCAGTACTGAGTCACCATACACCTTCGTGGCACAGTGGAACAGATGAGAAAGTCTGATCTTAACAGATGTCCACTCAATGGCTCAAAAGCACTGCTCCAAACCACGAAACAGCCAAGCACAGCGAGAAGGGTCATGGGTCGAAGGCGTGAGATCCAGTGGTGTTTTCCTGCTCATAACTCTTCTTGCCAAGTTGTCGACCCACTGAAAGGTGTGTCTCCGAACAAAGTCAGAATGCAGGTGAACTAAGTCTTTGGTTTCTTTGGACTATAAATAACACTTTTTTTTTTCCTTCTTCAAATATTTCTAAGTATAAACCTGCTATGTTGAGGTCCTAGTAAAAATTTCTTTTATTTAAAGCTTTTCCACCGAGGTTTTAGTTTGTGGTTATTCCTTCATGCTTTGGTACAAGTGCTTGATGAAGATGAGTTGCCTGAATTGGAGCTGCCCTCGTCCTGCCATTTGTCCAGGCTTCTCCTCCGTGCATTCATGAAGAAGTTGCTGACGGTGCTCAGCTCCAACCCCAGCTGCTGGGAAATGGTGATCTGCAATTCTTTGGACGGACGCTTGTTTTCCTTGAATATTGCATGTAGAGTCCTGCGTTGGACGTCTGTGAAGACCAGCCTGGGCTTTTTGGGGGTGTTGCCTCTATCCTTCCCGTGCTCTTGCTCTTTCCTTTTGCACGCTGCAAAGAAACACAGAGGCCGTTAGAACACACTGCCTGGGAAGATCCAGAAAGGCACAGCCAAGAAGATGTGTGAGCCACTCCACATGCCTGCTTTCTGCCTGCTGACCTCTGGTTTTAGCACCATGGTGGGCTGGCAGGGAAGTGTAACAAAATGATGGAGAATTAGGAGGAGGTGGAGTTCTGGCAGTCCTGTGCAGAGTCCTGGCTTTGAGGTTTTGACAGTATCTGCATTTTATCTGTCGTAAGTTGGTTAATCCTACCTGGATCTCACAGTCCTCATCTGTAGAATATAGGGCTTGGGCTAAACAAATTTATTGTTTGAATTTTTTATCACCATCTGCAAAATGGATATAAGAATACCTACCTGGCTGGGTTGTGGTAAGGATGCGGGAAATAGTATGTAGGATGTTCCCAAAATATGTATACCCACACTGTGAATAATTATAAAGGTAATGTGGCGTCTGGCTCGCTATACTCTGAGATGAGCTCCAGCTCAGTGCCAGCCAGGTGGGCATCTTCCTCGTGAAGGTAGGGACTGTTGTCCTTTCATATCCCCTCCACCCTGCAGTTGGCTGTCCGGCCTGGTGCCACCTCCCACCCCACCTCCTGGCTCTTTGTAGCCTAGGTTCTCAATTCCATTCCTTATGAGATGGCTCACCATCTCCGACTAGATGCAGCCTCTGTGCTCTCCCTGAGTAGCCCTGCTCCTCTGCCTGCCCCTACCTTTCCTTCCTAACTGCTCCAGATCCCGGATTTCAGAGTTCCCCTAAGACCTTAAGTGCCCATTAGCACGCATTTGCTCAGCAATCAGATTAGCTGGAAAGCTACTGGGAGAAGGCTGAAGAAGCTTCTAGTCTTTGAAACCCAATCTAGGGGTATCCAAGTATTTTTTTAACCATATGCTACTAAGTAAAAAAAATGATTTGAGTGTAGACTCCCTAATACTATTTATTTATAAATTAAATGCATGTATAAATTACATGTATATACTATGTTATGTGCATTATAAAGCACATATAAAATATAAATTTTTAAAGAGGTAAAATAAGCATAAGGAGACATAGGAATTATTTTCTACAGATGCATCAGCCCGCCCAAGCCTTAGAGTGCATTCACTCCCCTGAAGGAACCACTGACCTGGCCAGAATTTCAGAATGAACATGAGGGAGAGATCTCAGTTATAAGAGATAGATTTTGGGGCAAGTCAGGCCACATAGTACCTTTCATGACATACCCCATAGGTCACTTTCCCAATATAAGAGAATAGCATCAACACAAGGGGAAGTATTTATTAACTTCACAGAGGTATAAATACCAAGCCAGCTGCATTTCCACAGAGTCCCTCCCACCACAGGCCTATAGCCTTCATTGGACAAGTGGATTAAGTACTTGCAAAAACAGCTGCATAGACCAAAAATTCTAATTACTTTGAGTCAGTGCATGTAGACACAGCTGTATACAATACTGGCGCACATGGCTGATTCATTCGCATTCAAAAGTGAATGTAACACAGACTTTGCTCTTAAGGAGGTCAGTCACATAAGCATATAACGCCAAGAGTGGAAGAAGGGTACACAGGAGATTAGCTCTGCTTGAGGATATTAAGGAAGGCATCACAGAGGAGTGGGTGCGTGTACTGGGCCCTACAGGATGAATAGGAGCTTGCTAGTGAGAGAAGTGGGACAAACTCATATTCAGCAAGGGCAGCAGCATCCATGAAGGATTGATAAATTTTAGGAGATTGGTATTCGTGGGGCAAGAGTGCACGCAGGAGGAAAGCTGTGGGAGACAAGGCTTCACAGGTAGACAGAGATCAGAATTGTATTATCTTGTAGGTGAGGAGGAGCTATTTAAAGGTTACGAGTAAGGGTATAGTGTGATTAAACTTGGGTTTAGTAAACTCCTCTGGCAGTGTCATGGGGGATTGAAAAGCAACAAGATTAGGAATAGAGAAGCTGTGGTATGCCACCCTCATCCCCTCAGAGCTAAGGCTTCTGGGAGAATTGGTGGCTGGCTGCTCTTAGTTGAGGTTCATTCTGGCCAAAGGTGATGTCAACCTGAGGTGGGGTAGAGGGCTGCCCACACCCAGTGGGGATGTGGAGGAAGAAGGGTTGGTGTGGATAGTAGACGTTGAAGAGTGGAAATGTGTTGGTTTGAGTGATACAATCTCAGCCCTTGTATCAAGTTGGGACAACTGTGAAGGGTCACCCAATTCCAGAGCACCCTGTAGGAATGATTGAGGCTACTCATGTAATCACATTGACATTCAACGTCTCCCTCTGTTTGGTCTTACATATGACACCTCCCTCCCTGCCCCCAGGAGTGGCTCCCAATAGCTCTCTCCAATAGCCTTCCTTCATGCACATTGCAGAAAACTAGATCTTTCCCCCAAGAAAACCTAGCCTAAGATGGAAGCCATTAGAGAACCACTGGGTTGAGGACCCCAAATTAGATAATGCAGTTGAGGGAGCAAATAGATAATAGGGAGAAAGTTCAAGGGGACTTAATGACAACTTGTCTGAGAGGATGGTATTCAGAACACTTTCCAGATTTCTGGTTGTATGATAGTAAGGAGACCATTAGGCGAAGCAAATGGGGAAATACTTTTTACAAAGACAGTAGTCACTTCTGTGTGGGACAGATTTGAAGTGCTTACTAGACATTTTGTTAAAGATCTCCACTAGGTGGTTGTCCTGGCAGTGGTCGCCAACTGGTCGTCCGAGGACCACTGGTGGTACGTGAGGTCTGAAAGATTAGCCACCGCTGGCACAGGACAGGAGGATATATGGGGTGCATAGCAAAGGGGAGAGATCTGGGCTAGGAATACAGACTGAGATGGTAAATTACACACAACACATACCTGGGGGAAAGTAAATAACTGAGTATTGGATGCAGACTCAGCTTACTTGTCATTCAAAAGGCAGAGTGAAGGGAAATCATGTAGATATCCATTTCCCACCTAACCAGGATGTATGCTTGAATGACTTCTATGTGGTCCTTGCACTTGGAAGGACTGAGCAGGCTGAAGCTACTCCTGAGCCAGCATTTCTCCAAGGGCATCAGAGGAATATCTCAAACAGGACTTCCTTGAAAAGATGTTTGCAGGTTGAGTACACTTACAAAAACCTCCTCAAAAGTCCTAATACATGTTAGCACATGTAATTCTGTTTCCCAGATGTTCTTAACCAGAATTCTTTTTGCTGGGGACTGTTTATTAATGTCTCACACAACACTAATGTTGGGCAAACAGTTTGGAAATTCCTGCCTTGAGCTCTCAAGCATTGTAGACATCACAATATCAGAAGTTGGGAGTAGCTTTTCAAAGCAAACTCTACAGGACAATATATATGGAGGAGCAAGCATGCAAATAAGACAGATTTCAATAAGTCGAAAGAGACAAAAAGGGGGAACAGTGGAAGTGAGCATGGCCGGTCTGCCCCTGAGACTATCTCCCGGCCAGTACACACCTGGTAAGGAACACAGAGCCAGAGGGTGGGCCAGGACAGCTGCAGGATTAGAGCTCAGACTCCAGGAGTCCAGGGTCATAATGTTATCTGATCCACCTTGAGTTATTTTGCTGTCCTGGGCATACTTTTATAAGATCGGGCTCCTAATAGTTTTGGGGATGAGGCAGCTACTAAGTGGCCAATTCAGAGGGCACAGCGCAATGCACAATTTGAAAAGCAACTCCAGCAAGACTAATGGATACGGCGAGGGCGGCCCCTGCCTGGGAAGCAGACTCTTGTGCAGACTGTCCGGAGGCTGAGATGCCAGCAGAAGGAGACAAAGCTAACACCGCCTGCTGGCCGCAGGCTTGCTTTGCTCATGTCTGTAAGTATGGGAGCCAGAGCACTGACGGAAATTCTTCTGGGCATGCACACGAAAGGCCTAACAAACCCGAAAAGAGCAGTCATTCACAGTCAGGAATGAGCACAGTAACCCATCCCTGAATCTTGCTTTACTTAAAACCCCTCTGTTAAACCTACTCCTCCAGTGAGGTAGAAATGGGTGTTATTTCTTTTTTCTAAAGATGAAGAAACCATATAAGAGAGGGCAGGTCACTTGCCTATGGAAGCACAGCTGGTTAGGGGGGATCTCCAGATCCACTGTGCCCTGGAGGAAATGTCAGCATGGTGGATGAGCATGCGACCTTTGCACAGGACGGGGAAAAGGCAGGAGCAACAGGTGGAGGGAGTCCAGGGAACCCACAGCCACAGTATGCAGAGCAGGAGCCAGTGACCTGCAGGCACAGGCTGCCTGTCAGTCAGACCTGCGTCTCTGCAGTTGCCCATCCAGGAAAGCGGGCTGCATGAAGCTGAGAGGCAAGACAGTTGGACAGTGTAAGGGACAGCTCACTCACGCTGGCCTGGTAAAGGGATGGGAGGGAGTCCACTTTCAGTCGGTCAGCAGAGGAGCAGGAGACAGCTGTCTCCGTATGGATATAGGCTTTGGGAGGAAGCTGGAGGAACTGCTGACTCAAAGGAGAAGGAAAGGTCGGGGGGAGCAGGCTAAAGCCAGGACATGTCTGCTCCATCAGATTCAGGTGGGAAAGTCACCCAAACCTGTCAGCACTCCAGCTATTTGATCGCCCCCCCCCCATGTGTTTTTATTGATTTCAGAGAGGAAGGGAGAAGGAGAGAGGGACAAAATCATCAATGATGACAGCCTGCAACCTGGGCAAGTACCCTGACCAGGAATCAAATCAGTGACCTCCTGGTTCACAGGTTGATGCTCAATCGCTGAGCCACACCAGCTGGGCCACCTATTTGCTTTTTTTTTTTTTTTTTTTTTTTTTTTTTTAACAGAGTTATCTGTCTAGAACAGAGAACTGCTTCCCCATGCGTCTGCTGCCTGGAGTCCTTCTAGAGTCAGCAAATAAAATAATTCCATCAACCTCTCTTCTCCAGGTAAATCTGTAGCCCAGGAGAGGGGAATCCATTGGAACCTGTGAGCACAGGAAGGCAGAGGCTGCTAGGTCTGGGATGGTGGAACACGAT